CCAGGGCTGCACAGAGAAAACTTGTCTTGAAAAAACAAAACAAGAACAACAAACAAACAAAACCAAAAGGATTCTTATACATTAAAGACATTGTTGATAAGATAGATGAACAGTCAAATCATACCTCATGAGGAAATGATGGTACTCCGTACAGCTGCCATCGAACTGTATCTGAATATATGAAACATGGCTGGCCTGGCCTGCAAACAAATAGTGGAAGGGCAGCCCAACTGCTGTGTTGCTGCTTCTTCTGGGGTGGACATGGCCACTGCCATCTTGAATTAAAGCAACTGTGATCACTAGCAAAAGACCTCACAAAAGACCATGCTCAAAACATCTGCTCCTAGAGAGAGGAGGGAGGCTCCCAAGGCCCTGCCCTCTCCTGGGTTGTAGGAAGGTTGACTGTAGATGGAAGACTCGCTTATAACCTGCCGAGGTCATATCCAACTCAGTATGTTGGTCCATCGCTCTAGATACTTCTGGTGCTCTGGTTGGCTTTGAATCAGCCATGCTCTTTAAGTAAGCTGGGCAAACTGATGGGTTCACCCATCCAGACTTGGGTCAACTCCTCTCTTCGGTCTGGTAGTGACCTCTTCATTAGAAAAAAACAGCAGGTGGATTGGTTCTGGAAAGGCGCCGACACAAAATTACCTTCAGGAATGAGTTTTTTTTTTTTTTTTAGGAGAGACACCTTCACATGGGAGCTGTGATCAAACCTTGAGACCTTGAGGCAGGACAGTCCTTCGTATTAGATACAGTATGATGGAGCCTTGAGGGGATTTAAAACTGGACAGAGACCTCAGTAAGAGAGAGGGCATGGAGGAGAGAGGCATAGATGGAGGGAGGAAGGAAGGGAGAAAGGGAGGAGGGGAGGGATGGATGGAGGAAGAGAGAGAAGGATGGAAGGAGGGAGGAAGAGAAGGATGGAGGGAGGGAAGAAACTCATGAACAAGTAAGCTACTGTGGACAGCATGCAGGAGGGGGGACAGAGAAGAATCTTCAGAGAAATCCCTTGATAAGGTAAAATACCTGACTTTTCTATCAGCGGTTGCTGGGAGGTTCCACACCACAAGATTTCTGGGATAGCCTACATAACAAAGAGCACAGACGACTTAGGTGCTGGTAGGTATATTATTGGCTGTGAAGCTACATAGGACTCCCTGACCCAAGTGGTGATTTCTAGGTCCCTCTCCCAAAAGCTTCTCTTATCTTCTCAGGGGCCGCACTGGTGGCAAAGTGCCTGTGTAAATCCCTCCAGGCTTGGCATGACTTGCAGACTTAGAAGATGCTGGCAGTGTAACACAGCTGCTGCTGAGGCGAGTACCAAGAGCCGGGCATTAACAGCCTAGGTCATTGGGAAAACCATACAGGCAGCCTTGAATGTGAAGCCCTGAGGACTTTTTGAGCAGCAAACCCAGGTCATGACAGTGGAAAAAAAAGGCCCAGGCTCCTCTCTGCCAAAGCACCTGCTTCCTGAAGTGAGGCTGAGTCCCAGTGAGACATGATGTCACTGTTTTTTATCACGTCTCAGTGAGGTGGCCTTCCTGGGGTGGAGACGGGAAAACAGAGCCCTATGGCCTGAACTGGGAAAAGAAGCATGGTTTCCAGCCATTTGAGCCAGAGTCCCCTGTTTCAGGAATAAAGCCACCTTGTCTGATTTGCCCAGGCCATGCTGCCTGATAGGACTGCAACAGCCTTAGCGACTTCTTTCCATGGAATTTTCTATAAAATAAAAATGCTGAATTTCCTTAAGGCTCTATCTAAATGAGAGCTATTGTGGCTGATGAGCAATAAAATGGTTAATTGCTAAGTAAAACATTAAATGATCCTTTAACCTCAAAGAAAACAAAGCAAATATATATACAAATATAAAACACACACACATCTATACGATCTTAAAAATGATTTAATATTGCTGTGTATGTGTGAACTTACATGATGTAAGTGCGCAGGTTTGCATTTGTGCCAGGTTTGTGTAGAGGTCAGAGGACAGCTCTGTGGAGGCAGTCCTCTCTTCCCACCTTGTGTAGGTTTCCAGGATCACACTTATGTCACCAGGCTGGCACGGCAGGCTCCTTTATCTGCTGAGCTGCTGTGCCAGCCCTGCACGATCTGTTCACATATACTCATCAGTTTAAATAATTGTTCGATTCTGCTTGTTTAATTTAAAAATTACGAGCCAGTGCGGTGGCATATGCTTGTAATCCCAACCTGGGCTACAGAGTAAGGCTCTGTCTTGCAAGAGAAAAAATAGTGAATAAAATAAATCCTGGGTGATAATTGCCATATTCTTTGACTTCTACATATCTTGATTTTATTTTATTTTTCCTATTTAAAGACTCATTAACAAAATATGCGGTGTTAAACACTGAATAGTGTCAAAGGTGCCAATGAAATGGCTCAATGATAGCTCGGTGGGTAAAGGGATTGGCTACCACCCCCGACAACCTGAGTCGAAACCCTGTAGCTCACATGGTGGAAGAAGAGAACTAATTCCCACAAATTGTCTTCCAATCACCACACACGTGCCATGGTGCACACACGCACACTACATAAATATTAAAAAAAATTAAATTAATGCCAAAGATGCATACTCCCAAAGCCCCCAGAGAAATCACTGTTTTGTTGGAGTCAACCCAGGGAAATAACCCAAGGGCCTCCCCCAAACACCTGAGGTGTTTGGGGATGAGGTCTTTGCCCCATCTGGTCTACTGACATGAGAAAAGTGCTCTTGCCTCTTAAGCATCTTTGATTTTAAACTGATTTTTACCTCAGAGAAAAGAGAACAGACCCCAGAGTGCACAGAAACACGAAGGATGTGCACTTGGTCAGTGCTGCCCAGATCAAGACATGGAGCCTACCCAGTATCTACAGTCCCTTCCGAAAGGCTCATCAACACTGTCACCATGGGTGGGTGACGTCTTTCAAGACTTCACACATAACCATTATTCTTCGTTGCCAGCAGTTGTGAGATTGGCTCCTGTGGTTATAGTTAATTTCAGCTACTGAAGTTTCTGTGTAGTTCTCAGTGACCACAGTCTGTTCATTTATGGCTAACAGACAAGAAAGTTGTTTCCTGAATTGGCTACTGTAAATGATGCCAAGAAAGCATCTGGTGGGCTACCACACAGTCTGGTATGTGTGGGACAGGTATGAATTCAGGAAAAGATAATTGCTTTCTGAAAAGATGCTAATTTGCATCTTCACCATCAACCAAGGAGTTTCTGTTGTTCCGTGCCTTTGATTTGCCATCTTGATTTTGGCCATTCAGATGAGTGGGTGGTGCCATACCAATGTGGCTGTTGTTTACATTTCTCTAGTAGCTAAAGGGAACAAATATCTTTCTGTTTTCTTGCTGAGAAGTGGAAAATCCTTTTTTTTTTTTTTTTTTTTTTGCTTGAGGATAATTTTGTTATGTTTAACTTAAAAAATACACACACGCACACACACACACACACACACACACACAAAACAAACAAAAACCCCAGTGTGGGCGGAGTATGAATCTCAGCAGATGCCAGGAGCAGACAGGAGAAGAAAGAAGCCACACCATTTGAGTTAAGCCAGCGTGGAGGTCAGTCACACGACAGACAGGCGCCCACAAGGTGCATACTTAGAAACAGAGGTGGAAAGGGAAAGAAGGCAGACTCATGAAGCTGCATGCCTACACGTTCCCTGCTCTTGCCTTCTTCGGCTGGTGCAGCCACTACCTCGCTCCAGGGAGAAGCTCTGCCAAGACATCCTGAGCATCACAGCATCCCCAAAGTGTGCGCAGAGCCAAGGCTGGTGAACAGAAGAGTGGTGAGGTTGGACCAGCCCAGTAGTGTCTTCCTTTGTCCCCAGCAGCGGTGGATGTGCCTGTCACTGGCAGGAGGCTTGGGTCCAGTTCTCCATGGATAACCCAGGGCTCTTTTCCTGCCTCTCCATACCTAGTTCTCCATTCCAGCACAGCTCTTGGCTGCTCCAGACGAGACTGTCTCCTCCACAAGATGAAGGCCGGTGCTTCCCTGAGCATGTGGGCTCTCCTGCCTTTTTCTGCCCTCAGTTTCTCTAAGGGTGTCTCTCCCACAGCCTAGCCCTGCCCTAACCCTCCCTGAGATTCAAGAGCAGAAGACAGACACACTGACACCTAGGAAGGTGGCTGTCACCAGGCACCTCACTTACCATGGACCAGGACCCACCCTGGGCCAGGACACACAGGTAAACAAACAAACAAGCCTGGCCAACAGGGTTCACAGGTGGAGTGTCCTCACATCATTGGCATACATTTCAGTGACGGAAATCCAAGGCCACCAGAAAGAAGCACTCATGCTACCATAGGACAATGACCCTGGTGGGAGTTAGTGGAGAAGGAAACTTGGACAGGATGGAAGACTCCCACGTGGCCCTCAGGCACAGGTAATGCCATGATTAGTGACGGTAGGGCACAGGGCACAGGGCCTAACCCTTGGAATTTATAGTCCAGGGGGCATCAAGGAGTACGTCCTACACTAGAAATAATTGAGATTGTACCAACAGTTTTCAGAACATAAAGGGCAGAGGACTTTGGCTTAGAAGAATTCATGGGGTCTTTCTAAACTGGAGTTCAAAGAACATGGAGAATGGATGGGAAGACATGGGAGAACATTCCAGAAAAGAGAAGTAGAGGGGGATATGTGTTGTTTGCACAAGGACTGGTGTTCTGCCAGCTGCAGGGTTAGCTCAGACACATGGGTAAGAAATGGTCAAAGAATCTGGTGTGTGTGTGTGTGTGTGTGTGTGTGTGTGTGTGTGTGTGTGTGTGTCTGTCAGGTGAGGGTATGGGGTGGCACATTAGGTGCTGAGTCCCCCTCTCTGTTTTCAGGCTGTAACAGCTGGCCCAGCAGTACACTCCGTGTGGAGGGTTAGGGTGAGAGGCCAGGGCACTGTGACACATGTTCTTTGGTTTAATGTTTCTTAATGCTTTTGCAGGGAACCATTGCCATATCAATAAACACACACACAAAAATTATAATGAAAAATATACAGTTTTTTTTTAAGGATTGAAAAATACAAATTCAAAGAAATCACTACAGAGTCTACAGGGCTTTCAGTATGTTTCTTCTCCTATGCTCACTAGGGCAGTTAAGGAAAAGACACAAGAGCCATGACACTTCTGGCCAATGGCCGTTCACAGCATGCTTATGAGGTAGGTATTGTCAGGCCTACAGGAGAGAAAGCACTGAGGCCCAGCCATGGTATAGCGTACTCGAGTTACACAGCTAAGAAAGCGAAGAATCAGAACTCAATAAGAAGCCAGTGTGTGAAATCCATGTCCTTTTTACAGCTGTTGCGTAGCTGATGTGACAGCTGTTGTACAGATGTGGGGAAGAGAGGGGAAAGGGCATGAGCCGAGAGGTCTCATGTGAAAGATGGCCGTGGCCCACAAAAACAGGGTCATAGTAGGAAGTAAGTTCATTATGGCTACAGCAAGGGGGCTGCCTCCATCCAGCTTCTCCTCACTAAGGTAGGCTGAGAGCCGCTCTCAGCACTGGCCACAGAAGGACCCGTTTTGCTGTCCATGTTCTACAGAGTGGCCTGTTCTTGAACTGAATGGCACAGAGGGCATGAAGCCGCCTGTAACTCCTCCTAAGGTGCCCTTCCCATCGAGGAGGCTGTAAGTGTGCAATAGGATGGAAGGAGACAATGTTGTTGGGCCTGAAAGGAGATCAATGGTGAATGGGAACCCTTAGAGGCAGCTAGCCGCAGGTTTCCATCTGGAGGTCAGTGAGACAAAGCACCCTGTTGACATGAAAATCAAGGGGCTGATGCTGTTTTCTTAGCCAGATATCAGCCCCTGGGAAGGACCCCCAAGCGGTTGTGCACAAGCGACTGTGGACAGTTAATTGTGGCAATTGCAAAGTGCTCCTTCCGCTAGAAAATCGTTGTTATGGTTTGTAACTGAATGGAGCTGTTTCCCGTCTTTTCCTTTTCTTCCTTTAGTATGTGCCTAGAGAGCTTATGGAGAAACCAGCCAACATCCTGGAGGTCCTCAGGCCACCTTAAGTACTGTCGCTTTTGTAGAAACCCCCTGATAGGCTCATGCCTCATCAGCTGATACTGTGACAAGGTCCCCATCACCACCACGATGAGTACAGTCTTGAGTTCAGAGAGACACCGGCTCTGGGCGTACCTGAAGGCTTCCAGGCACCAGCCATCTTTGAGGAAGTGCCTGCTCACTAGACACACTATCTTCCTGCTGCCCCAGACGGCCGCCTGGATGTTGGAGATATGGTTTTCCCCTGGGATGAAGTCCCTTTCTTCAAAGCACAGCCTGAGCCTGTTTCGGGAACTGTACTGAACATCCAGGTATTTGAGCAAAGCATCCTGTGCCCATTCAAAGTCTTTGCTACTGAAGCAAAAATAGGCGTCGTATCTGTATGTACCAGTTTCCAAACTCCGGACTTCGTCCTTGAACAGCAGCTTCTGGATGGTCTTATAACACAGGAAACAAGCCCCCCGGAACTTCATGACTATGAGGGTGGTGACGAGGAACAGACTGGAAGTGATGGTGCACAGGAGGAAAAGGGAAAACCTTAGGGCCAGCAAGGCTTCCTCTTCATCGCAGTCCTTGGTGGAAATGTTGTAGAGCGAGCCCCCTAGCAGCGAGTCGGGGTACATGCAGCGTATGTCTGCAGGAGAACCCCGCAGGGTGACATTGGTTTTGCCGAGCCAGAGGATAAACGTGCTAAGCTCACAATCGCAGACGAACTTATTATGAGTTATGTCCAAGGCATGAAGTGAAGAAAACAAACCAGGATCAGGAGAGAAAAGCTCATTTCTCGATATATCAAGAATCTCCAAATTAGCAGGGAAACTGCCAGGAGAGAGAGCAGTCAGCCTGTTAGCACTAAGACTGAGCCGCTTTAATGCAACCAAGTCGCTAAATATTCCAGGTGGAAGGAAATTAAGGTAGTTATTATTCAGAAAAAGGGTTTGGAGGCTGGAAAGGCCTTTAAAAACATTCCAACAGAGCCCAGTCTCCCAGGCTAGCTGCAGCATGTTTTCTGTGAGGAAAAGCTGTTTCAAGCTCGGGTTCCCTGAAGGGGCATGGTCTGCCTTGCATGAGGAAAGGCGATTCTGATTCAGGATGAGAAACTGGAGCTGGGAGACTTGCAGCAGGAAGTAGAGGTCAGATAGGTCTTCTAGCCTGTTTTCAGCTAACTCGATGAAGTTGGCCGAAAAGCGAATGTGTGGCAAGCTGACCAGCTTATTGCCACCCAGAAGGACAGTCTCTATGCTTGGAATAAAATTAATGGTTTTAAGAGCATTATCACGGAGATCCAAGGTTTGCAACTTTTCCAGGAACCTGAATGTTTGGTATTGGATGATCCCAATGTGGTTCTTTTGAAGATCAATGTAGGCTACCCTAGGAAGCCCGTAGAAGTTGGAATTATAGAGTTCTCCCAGAAGATTATATGACATATTGAGAATCTGGAGGCTGTCAAGTCCATAAAAGGCATTATCTGCGATCTTGTTTATTTTGTTGAAGGCAAGGTTCAGAACCTTCAAATCCTTCAGTGTCTCAAACACTCGGGGATTCAAGGAGAAGATGTATCCATGTGAAAGATCCAGCTGGAGCACTAAACTCCTGGCCAGGCCAGCAAATGTGCTCTGCTCAGGGTCCTTGATGTTCTGGAAGCCAAAGCCAGAACCCATAATATGGTACTTGAGAATCAAAGAGGAAACCTGGCTTCCCTGGATGGCATTGCTGAAGTTCCCCATGATGGCCACTGTCCAGCCATTTTCAGAGAGATCGAGAGTTTCTAGCCACATGTCTCTGAATGGGTTCCGGCATGTCTCCCAGTCCACAGAGACTCTGCTGAACAGCCTAGTTAATTTGAGGCCAAAGAAAGAGAGTGTTTTGCCATGCAGGGGCTTGAGTTCATCCTCACATAGAGTGAATATTTGATTGAAAGAAAAATCTATGGCTTTTAAGGAATTCAAGTTCTGAAATGAAGAATGGAGATGAAGGCTGTCAATCTGGTTGCCAGAGAGGTCTAAGCGAACTAAAGAATTTAGATTTCTGAAGTAACCATCACTTAACACAGCACTGGAGAGGCCACAGTAAAATAAGCGAAGTTCCAAGAGATGGGGCAGTCTCTGAAAGGCATCTGGATTCAGGACTTTAATCTGGTTTTGGCCCAGGTCCAAGATCCTAAGATTGGGCAGGTTTCTGAAGGCCTGCTGGCCAATGGTCAAGGGTGTGAACTGGGTCCCCAGCTCCAGCAGCTGGAGCTGCTCCAGGAATGGAAATGATGTGGCATTGACCACACTGATGAAGTTGAAGCTGAGCAGAAGTCTTTCAGTGGTGTTGAGGACCCAGGGAATCTGGGTAAGGTTACAGATGCGAAATAAGGCTATCCGGCCATCAGAAGAACAGGGAGTCATTCCCAACATGGGGCTGGCCATGAAGATCACTCCTATGAGAAGGCCAAGTTGATTGGCCATGATCCTATGGGAAAAGAGAAGAATGAAAACACAACCACAGCCTGAGGGTCTGTGCATGGGTCGTCAGCCATGAAGGTCTCCTGTGTAATGGAGCTGTTCTCTTGGAGCCCTTTGCTCAACTGACTCTACAAACATGGCGCTGGCGGATTCTGCTTGGTGGAACAGCAACACTCTTTCCTCCCTAAACACCAGTGCACATTTTACACACTGGGCACCAGCACTTCACGGCTATTTCATCCAAGCTGGGGAGGTAGCTCAGTGGTATAGCACTTGTATAGCATGTACCAGGTCGTAGGTTTCCTCCCCAGCACCACAAAACCAGAAAAGAAGCAACAAAAAGAGAGCTACCCGCTCAGTGTTTGTCCATTCACGCCGGTGTTGCTGAGAGAAGTTGGACATTGTAAGGAAGAGGCATTTTTACTCCTGCTCATCCAAGGAGCCCCATTTCTAACTCGCAGGAGCTTAGCCGACAAACAGACAATAAACACATCAATTTCTCTACTGTATTTTGTCCCCAACTCTAACCCATCCCCAAAGATTTGGGTACTTTATGCAACTTCATAAAGAATCAGATTTGCTCACCTTCATTACGTGGACAATGTGCCTGCTGCACACCTGACACACATGCCCATGTGAACACATAACAATAAGCAGAAATACACCCACCTGCAGAAGTTCAGTGCGGGGAGCTCACCGCCCATCTACGTGCCACAGCAGCAAAGGGTGTCTCACAGATGTGTCTGGCACTTATTCCAAGCACAGAGCTGTGTAAGAACAGGAAAAAAAAATACAAGAACCTTAGAGAGCTTACTGTCTTCTGTGGTAGTTTGAATGGAACCCTTTGAAAGGATTAGAAGGATCGGGAGGAATATGTTGAAGGAAGTGCATCACTGGGGGTGGACTCTGAGGTCTCAGAGTTTTATGTCAGGCCTAGTCAGTCTCTTTCTCTTGGCCTATGGTTTAGGATGCAGCTCTCAACTGTTTCACTAGACCTGCCATGCCTGCCACCATGTTCCCACCATGATGATAATGGACTAAGCCTCTGGAACTTTAAGCCAGCCCCAATGAAATACTTTGTAGGAGTTGGTGTCTCTTCACAGTAATAGAACAGTAACTAAGACATCTTCCATGCACATGGCTCTTCCATTTCTTCACTTGCTGTCAGTGGCTTGTATCAAAAGCATCTGTTGAAAGGTTCTGTGTTCCAGAAAATGATCCCCATGGGCCCAGGTGGTAAAGGATTTAGCGCCATCTTAGGACACCACTGGGAGGTAATGGAGCCTTTAGTGGGGCTTAGTGGGAGGAAGTTAGGTCACTGTGGTTTTGCCTTAAAAGGGATGCCTGCCTCTTTTTATCAGCCCCTGAGCCATCCATTCCTTTCCTTCCAGATTCCTGTCTGCCCTGCCTAGACTTGCCATCACGTTGCTGCACCTGCCAACTTCAAGAGGGCACTCATCATTTCTACACCGAATAGTTCCCCACGGCTCTGATAACCATCAAACACAAGTCCTGGCTAATAGACCAAGTCAATAGACAGCAGACGAGAATCTACAAGGAGAGAGGTGGTCAGCTTGAGAGATGGTATAAGAGGCAGTTAGTGAAATGGATCCTAAGTGAAGCTCCATCTCACTTGGCATGCAACCCCAGGACTGTGATTCTAAAAGCTGGTAGAACACTAAAAAGTGGATGAAGGAATCTGGTGCAAAGCATCAGTCTTTTTGAGTGGTACCCAGAGTGGAGAACTTGAAGATGCGCTTCAGTAGAGACAAGAATAGGCAAACCAGGGTTGGGACCCAGGAAGGAAAATAAACAGTGTTAGAAAGCTCATACTCACATTAAATTTTACGTATCTCTTTTTGCCCATCTTGCAGTGGGAAGTGGGGTCCTACTGCGGCCTACAAATCATGGAAGAGCACAGCCTCATTGCCCGTACCCGAGGATGCCTCTGTGCTCGCCTGCACACATGACAGCACCTGGCAGCGGACAGCCTATCGTAGTGCTTCCCATATGGTTTCCTCGTCTGTGTGTCTGTGTGCTGTGTGTCTGTAGAGTGCACACAAGTGAGTGTGAGGATGTGCGTGCCTGCAGACGCCAGGGCAGGCTGTCAGGTGTCTTCCTCTATTGCACTCTGCTCTGCCTCACGGCCTTGAGGCAGGGTTCCTCACAGAACTCACTGTTCTGACTTGCTCAGGCAGCCAATAAGCTTTCAGGATCTTCCCGCCCCATCCCCCATAGCGCCGGGTCTGCAGGCACATGTCACACTACGCTACGCATAGCTTCTTCACAGGCTGTGGGGTCATGAACACTTTGAAAATCTGTCGACAGTTCTGTGACCTTGTCCTACACTGGTGCCACAAACCTAATGTCGTGCCCAGACTCAGAGCTCGCCATCCTCCCAGAACCCACCTGTTTCAACGGGATGTGGAGGGTCTTCAGTTCACATGGAAACAACCACCATGGTTCAAGTTCGAGGGCAGGGGTGGAAACACTCTCTGCAAAGGGCCGGATGGTTAATGTGGTAGGCTTTACAGAACAAGCGGAGACCACCGGTTTGCTGGCCTCTGTCCCAGAGGAAAAGACAGACAACTCCAACTCCACTAGTAAGGGGTTTTAGGTGACTCTAAGATAAACATGATGTTGAGCTATAAGAGGGTGCAGGGAAGAACTGGTGATGGATTTGCAACTATTATTTTTTTCCCAGACATCAGGCTGGTTCCTCATCTTATGTAACCAGGTAGAGCAATTCCCCTGGGACATAAGCATGAAGGTGCCAACTTGGAATAATCAGGTAATTTTTTTTTTTCAATTCTGACTTTTGCTAGGATCAGTGTTGATCCCAAGGTACAGCCACTGAACTAGGTGACCTTGAATTACTGGTAATGAATGACGGGCCTAAATAACATATATCACAAGACATTTCAATTTCCAAATTCACAAGAGAAGCTAAAATTAAAGTGAAGACAATGAAACCAGCTGAACAAGTAGATTAAAGTAATAAAAATTCTCTGGGCCCAAGTTCTATTATAAAGATATCATGCAGACCTGTCTCTTTAAGAATGTATAGAAGAATAAAACAATTCCATTTTTTATCTCTGAAGCAGATCTCTGGTTGAAATGGCGGGCAGGACAGGTGACCAGGGGAGCCAGGTAACAGTGAGATGAGTGTCTGGAGGCTGATGCTGAGAGCCTGGGTGGGAAGCTGGCAAGCATTTATTCTGAAAAGAGAGCCAGAAGTTCAAATGTAGAAGTAAATATGCCCAACAGCAACAAGACAAACCTAGCTGAAGATGAGCACCAGGAAGCCAAGGTCTCCCAGATGCCAACTTCAGAACGATGAGCATCCTGGAAGGATCCACAGAGCGAACGATGAACATCCTGGAAGGATCCACAGAGCCAGAGGTGAGCAGTGAGTCCTAATGTTGTGAGCATGAGGGAAACCAGCCAGAGGAGACAGAGCGACCTGGAGCCACACCCACTAAGTGGAGGAGCCCAGAGGGGTGCAGAGCCCAAGGGAAGCATGAGAGCTGTGGCTGCTTTTTTCTCTCCAGGTTGAGGGCTTGGGCCCTAACCTTCAGGAAATCCCTTCAAATCCAGCCTGCCACCTTGTGGTTGCCAAGAGCAGAGGCAGGAAGGAAGAGTGGCAGACTAAACTCCAGGTAAACTCCAGGGTCAACCATAAATCATTATCCAGATGATAGAAACACGTGAAGTTATTTCCACAGTTAAGAGCTACACGCATGTTCCCTGTTCATAGTAGTAGAGCACTGGACTAGCATGCATAAGGTTCCGGGTTCGATCCTCCCCGCACCATGAACTCAAAAATGCTGATATTTTGAGCCATTGCACTATGGCTAGGGGTCATGGTGCATGCCTGTAATCCTAGAACCTGGGAGATGGAGATGAAGAACCAAGAGTTAGGCTAAGTTCCATAGTCAGACTTCATTTAAAACAAAAACAAAAAACACATTGCACCATGCAAAAATCATACACCCAACTCCCAGGATTTATAGGAAAAATAGGGTTAGAGTACAAAGCTCAAAGAATTCATTAATAGCACAAAAGAGGTTAGGAATTAAATAAAAATAGTATGTGGTAAGCCTGGTTAAATAGACAAGAGACCCATTAATACTTTAATAGGCATATACTTGACTTTGGAAAGGACCTGAGGCTTGCTGGTGGAAGCAGGCATCAGGAGGGTTTCAGTAGCTGAATTATTATGAAATAGTGGGAAAGGGGGGCACTGTATGGCATCAGGGGGGAAATTTCAACACCAACTGTAGCTGCCTGAGGCTCAAAATAGACGGAGAATAGAGGCAGCACACACACTAAGGTTTATTTTATGTACTCTTAGGCGGCTTAGTTTAGCTTGGTGCGGTTTTCTGTCTTTATATATAAGAAATTGCACTTAAGGAAATATGAAATACACATTTCTGAAACCAGGCTCTTTTTTTTCTTTAATTTTGTTTTGTTGCTATCGACTGAACCCATGGCCTTGGGGATGTTAGGCAAGAGCTTTTCCACTGAACTATATCTCAGCCAAGTTCTCTAATATATCACTCGTCTTCATCTTCCTGAGCAGATGAGTATCATTGCCTGACATCAATTTTCTTAGGAACAAGTTCACATTTTGAGACAGGCATTATATGAACAGACAGTGTCGGTTCAGTTAAGGGTGGAAGATTTCGGTTTTGTAAACAGTTTCCTCCTCCGCACTGAGCAGGGTGTGCGGTCATGCAGACTCACCTTTCGGGGAGGAGAGGGGTGGGTGCAGGAGCAGGCTCCTTTCTTCAGCCTCAGCCTCTTGTTTCGCTTAGAGACTGACCAAGAGAGCAGTCCGCAACGCCATGGGGGAAGGCTCAGATATCTCTATGCTCAACAGGTGTGAAGTTTTACAGACACTTGAGCCTGAAAGTCACTGGCGTGAATCAATCATTCCTGAATCTGCCAACACCTCCAAGTGACCTGGGGTCTGAGCCAGGGTCCCATCGGAAAAAAGGCTCATTTTAGTTGATCTGGCAAGCGTGTCCACCATGCAGCTAAAGATAGCCAGGAATGCTGCCCAACACAGAACTGTAAACTCATGCTTTAAAGACACAATGAGATTTTCTGTTCAAGTTATTTTCTTTGAACTTAGGCAAGGCTCTTGACACTATGTTGCAATGCCAAAAGGTTGTGCATCCCTGGTAGGGCCAGGAAGGGGCCTTGTTAGCTCTCTATAGGTGACTCCAGTCGAAGACAGTCTGATCACCTACCCGTTGGCTGCAAACCCTGACTCCGCCCCATCAGGTCCATAGAAACACCCTGCAACAGGATTTCTGATGACCCAGCCATTCTCCTTCTGGGTGATCACACAGAAGTACTGAAAGCAAAACCCCTAAAGGAATGTATATGGATGTTCATAGCAGTGAGATTCACAACAGCCAAAGCAAGAGAGAGCCAAGATCCACAGTAAGGGTGAGCACACAGGGTTGGGTATATGTGTAATGGAGGACAACTTCTTTCCTTTTAAAGTTTTTAATTTCAATTTATTATTATTATTATTATTATTATTATTATTATTATTATTATTATTATTTGTGCATGTGTGTGTGCTGCTCATGTAGACATCACAGAACACCTTTGTGAAGTCACTTCTTTTCTTCTACCTTTACATGAGTTCCAGGGACCAAACTCAGGTACCTGCTGAGTCATCTCTCTAGCCGCAGAGGAATAAAGCTGGGGCACGTGCTGCAACCCGGATGGATTCTAAAGACAAACAAATAGCTTGTGGTTCCAAACTCTGTCTCAGGCTAAGAAACACTCTCCCACTGAGCTGCTCCCCATCCCGAGGTTTCTAGAATAGATAAATTTGCAAAGACAAAAGGTACAGTGAGGTTACTAGGGGCTGAGAGGAGGGGACGGATCCAGAATTTCAAAACTTCAGGACCATGAGAAAGCCCTGAAGATAGACATGGGTGAATGTGTGTAATGCCACTGAATTACCTGCAGCCTGAAAGTGATTTAAACGACAGCGTTTAT